TTTTCAATATTGATGCAATTTTGTACCGAATCTCCTTTGACACCAAAAAAGAAAAAAAGAATATAGTGCAATAACAAAAATAAATTTCGAGAAAGGGAAATACTAACATGCTCACGGTGAGTACATGTTAATATGTCCACCGTTTATGTGACATGCAAACATTGATGATGTTAATATGTTAAGAAAAAATACACCACCAATGTGTGAATGCCACATAAACGGTGAACATATTAACATGTGCCCACCATGGACATGTGTAGACGAGAGCATTTAAAATAGTGCGGACGAGTAAATAGTAATTAACCCTACAAAAACAGAGCCACCAATTAGAAGCCGGGCCCGAACAAAGCCAGTGTTTCGACTTCGAGCCGACTGAATATATATACAATACATTAATATGTCGTTCCCTCTTCACACATACTTCTGACAAAGCTGTTCACCACTACACACACTGACACACACACACACACACAAAACTTCCACAATAAAACCCCATTCAACCCCCCACACCTTAATTCACATTCCAGAATCACAACTTCAATTTCAATTTATAAAAAACAAAGAATAAAAAATGGTGAGCGACACGAGCGAGAGGAAGGCGGCGCGGCCGGGCCAGTGCGGCGGGCCGCCGGCGGAGCCGGAGCAGCTCCCCTGCCCACGATGCGACTCTACCAACACCAAATTCTGCTACTACAACAACTACAACTACTCCCAGCCCCGCCACTACTGCAAGTCCTGCCGCCGCTACTGGACCCACGGCGGCACCCTCCGCGACATCCCCGTCGGCGGCGCCACCCGCAAGGCCGCCAAGCGCTCCCGTACCGCCGCCGGATCGCCTCTCCCCTCCGCCCTCCGCGCCTTCCCAGCCGCCTCCCAGCTCCTGCCGCCGCCCTTCGCCGCGGACCACGGCTCCTTCGCCGGAGACGCCAGGCAGTGCGGGGGTTTCGCTGCCCTGCTGGGCGCGCAGGGGACGGGTATGTGGGCTCTGGGCGGGTTGGGCTTCGGGATGGGTGCTGGGTCGAATGAGACGGGATTTGGGCTTGGAAGGGACGGCTGGCCCTTTTCGGGGGCTGTTGGGGGCGGGCCCACGGGAGGAGGGGTGCACACGTGGCAGGTGGAGAGTGGAGAAGGGGTTGGGGATTGTTTTGCTTTGCCGGATCTTTCTATTTCCACTTCCACACCAAGTTTTATGAAATATTGATTTTAGATCTTTGGAGAAAAGGGCTAATTTCTATGCTTTTTCTGTATCATTTGTGTAAAACTGGCGGAAGAGAGTAGCAGTGTAGCAATTACTCAGCGTCTTGATGGACTAGAATCTTGCAGGCATGTAAGTTTTTTTTGGGTGTTTGATGTGTACGGACGTGCAAAAAAAGCTCGGGTTTGTTATGTTCTTGAGCTATTATAATCGTTATTAATACTACAATTAGCATTAGGCATTATTGAATTGGTTTAACATAAATAACGAAGGTCCCACACTCTCAACTCATTTCTCGTGAAAACGCCGCCCTCTTCCCCGTTCCTCCTTTGTAGCGGCGATATATGAAATGATCTAGATTTCTTAATTTGTTGTTTTGGTCTTTATTTGTCTATCTTTTTGGGAATGTTGTGTTTTCAACTTTTCATTATGNGGTCAATTTCTGGCCAAATTTGTACTCTTTTTGTTGGTTTTAGTTTTTTAGTGTAATTTTTCATGAAAGGCTGTTGTAGGACAAATAAGAATTTAATGTTTAGATGGAAATAAATCAACGTGTGATTTGTTTCTAGTAGCCATTGTTATGTAGTTTTAGGGAAAATTCGAAGTCGCCCCTAGGGCCCTTGATTTCACACACATTCATGTGTGTGTAAATCAAGGGCCCATAGAGGTTGACTGCAGTGCCCCTTGGGGCAACATCGAATTCTCCGTAGTTTTAAAACTGTTCTTTTTGCCCTTCCTATTTATGTGATGTCAGTATTTAGGCTGTTAGTGGGGGTGTGCAGGGATATTACCAGCATATTGCTAATTTTTAGTGGGGATCAAATGGAGAGGGAGGGAACATGATTCACTGGGTTAAGTGATCTAGAATAGCTCAGACTAAGTTAGAAGGGGGATTAAGTTTCAAGGTGTTTGAAGATTTTAATGAAGGATTGATTGTTAAGTAGCTCTGAAGAGTGTTAACTAGACCTAACATCCTGATGAGCAGGGTGATTAAGGGGAGATACTTTCATAACCAAAATCTCATGATGGTTAAGAAAAAAGACAGTGATTCTTGGATGTGGAAATGGTGGTTAAAGGCTAGGAAGTCTTTGAGTCTTGGGTGCAGATACTTAGTGGGAAATGGGTTGTCCATTGACATTTGGGATTCTCCATGGGTCCCAAACAACCATGACTTTAAACCTGTTTGCACATTCCTAGGAGATAAACAAAAACTGACTAAGGTGGCAGATATTTTGAAACCAGGCAATCAAGAATGGGATAGGGAGTTGGTTCAGCAAACTTTCACTCATGATGTTGATATGATCCTCAACAACCAGATTAGTAAGACGGGCATTAAAGACAGACTGATATGGAACTATAATAAGGAAGGGAAATTCTCAGTGAAGAGTGCATACCAAACCATCCAGAGGAAGAGGAAAGAGACCCTGGGACAAGAGGAAAGCAGTTCAAACAGTCAACATTCACAGCAGATGTGGAGACAAACATGAAAGCTACCCATCAAACCAAAGGTTACAACAACAACAACATACCCAGTATATTCCCAACAGGTTGGGGTCTGGCGAGTCAGTTGTACGCAGACCTTACCCTTGTAATTATACAAGGAGGCTGTTTCCGTAGCGACCCAAGGTGCATTGCGTCGTTTGATATATATTTTTTTTTCTAGAAACTTCACTAATAAAAGAAGCGCTAGAATTTAATTGAGCCATTTTGATCTAGTCCATTATTAACACTATACCAGGAGAATTGTCAACAATGACTCTTTCAGCTCCATTTGCAATGGACAAACCCATCAAACCAAAGGTTAAAATTTTTATTTGGAGATGCTTCCATAACTGTCTAGGCACTCTGCATAATCTAGAAAATAGAGATATGGCTGTTGATGGGGGTGTGTGGCTAGTGTGGTGAGACCAGAGAGGACCTGGAACATCTTATGTGTTAGATATTGGGTGCCAAAATACACGGGAATCCTATGAACTGATATGTATTTTTCAGTTTTTACAAATAATCTAAAAATAGAAAATTACAATTGAACTGAAAAATTAAATTACAACTGAAAAATAAATTGAAACTTAAGAAATAAAACGGAAAGATTGAAGCTGAAGCGAGTTCAACTCTTTCCGCAAGAAGAATACGCCCCGTGTGGCAGCTAACGGTTCAGGCGTAACTTCCCCAAAGATACAACGGCAAACGTCTCTAAATCTGTAGCACGACAGATTTACGAGCTCCGGCGAATTGGAACGGAGTTGAGAATTGAGCACTTAAAAATAGGAATAAAAATATCTCTCTGATAAATTTTCTCTATGCTTATCACTAATATTTTTATCCCTCAAATATTCTTTTGAACTGAACATTTTTCCCTGTCACTCTTTTTTCTTTCTCCCTTTCTTCCTCTCTATTCTTTCTTCCGTGTGGTGTATCTTTCATCAGCAAATGACCCTCATATTTATAGAAGATTTTGAGCAATTGGCAGAAGTCTTCACGCGTCTTTAGCAATTATTTAGCCAACTTAGTGCAATAAACTATCAAGAGAAAGTGACTCTTCTGCAATTACATGTGAGATTAGGTGTTTGGGAATCTTAGCAGGTGGGATGAGGTGTTTGGAACGTTGACATTTAATGACACTCAATAGTTACATTATGTTCACTTGTATCAGAGCTGATTGTGGAAGTTAGCAGGATTAGAGTGGAATAGACTTTCAGGAGTAGTAGGAGGAGATCCGTAACATCAAATGGGTGAGCAAAGAAAAAGACAGAATATCACTTTCAACATACATCTTATGGTGGTTGTGGAAAATAAGGAATGGTTGACTCTTTAGTAAAAAATGGATGTCTGAGAGACAGGTGGTTGAAAAGGAAACTATAGAGTAGCAGGAATTAGAGAGGATATTTGCAACATTCAAACCCACAGATCAAGAGAACTTCAAGGAGTAGGGGTTGCAGTTATTGCACTCAGTGTTAATGGAGTCTCTGAGAAAGATGATCAAAAGGTAGAGCTTGGGGAAACAATGAAGAAGTGCACCAGTGGGCAGTTTTTAGGAATAGAGGTTCTATGGACCATATGAGGTGTTCAGTGGAAATGCAGCTGTTGGGCTTGAGGCAATGGCTGATGGAGGGCAGAGGGAGGGGGTTGCAGAAGGTGGAGATCTTCATTGCAGATTCCAGATTGAGGAAGCAGGTTGTTCAGAAGAAAGGCTTGGATTTGAAGGTGGCCAAGATAGTTGATGATATCCATGTACTGTTATCCTTCTTTTTTTTTTTTGGTCGGTTACTGTTATCTTTCTTGTCTTCTTGGGACTTTGTTGATAGTTGGTAGTTTTGTATGTGTAGTTTAACTATCAACAAACAGACTTTGTTGATAGTTGGTACCAATTTGATAAAAGATCATGATATAACGAACTATTTTGACTTTATGTTATTGTTAGGATGACCTCGTTTGTTGTTGTAGGGATGCTTGTTACCAAGCTCCCCTTGAACTTCTTGTAACTCGTTGGTTACTCGCTTTGTATATGTTGAGTTTGTCAATGAAATTTAATGGTTGGATTAAAAAAAAATCGAATCAATTCAATAATAGACGTCTGTAAATTCATAATTCAATTCGTGAACCGTTGGTTTCAACAATTTTGTTAGTGGTTTTATATAACACATATATAAATATATATAGGACTAACCTTATGTAACGGAAGCGAAAACTTGCCCGTATCTTTTATCCGACGGCTACTAGAGTCGTCGGTATCCTCCACGCTCTAAAACCCGAGCCGCCTTGTGATGGTTTCGGCTCAACAAGAGAATATGCACTAAATAAAGACTTATAGTATTTGTGTTGCTTTGTTCTTTTTTCTCCTCGTATTGTTCACTTTTCATGATGCACAAAGCATCAATTTATAGTTGTCTTAATACAACTATTCATTAAGTGAAACCTTTAATCTCCACTTCATTAACTCTTATAACTCCATACATAATGGAGGTGAGTAACAACTCCACCTTAAAGTGGATGTTACAAGTGAATTGATGCATGTAACATCAATTACAAACAATACTCCCACTCAGCCATTTAAGCCGAGACAATAACATAAAAATCTTTATTAGCAAATCTCTTGCCTCATACGGGTAATAGAGCGTGCGACCAAAAGCAACAATAACAATGTTACATTAAGTCACCATCTAACTAACATAACACTTTATACCTACGACAACCTCTAACTGTTCAAAAATCACCAATAGCATACACTGTCCCTATGCTATATACACAACATGGTTATATTCAAATATAACCTCCCGGGCTAATGTGGTGAAGTTGAATAAGTTATATCTTAGACACTAATGAAACTTCATCTCAACTTAGTTGCTTTCCTAACATGCTCCGTCAAACTGTATCGATCATAGCTCTTGGAGGACATATTAAAGTAGCAACACTAAGTCTCAATTTCATAACCTAGTTCTAAGTCAAAAGGCTTCGTACAAAGTTGGACAACAAAATCCATAGGATTCACACCTTGACAAAGTAGGGAATCATTTGTCAATCCTTAACGGTCGTTCAAAAGCACACGCAGTATGATATACGTGTCATAACATAGCTCCCACTATGATGGGCATGTCACTCTACTATGTTATACGAATCTGTAGTCAAGATACTACTCAAGTATTTAACCCGAGCCACTTGATAAATATACTTAATAATTTATCTTTCACTCGAGATTCGGCTTCAAGGCTTTGATCTGAAATCAGGACTATTTCATATTCGACTCGATAGAGTCTCATCTTAGACTTACTAAGGCAACTGTAAAAATATATTTATACAACAAATGTATAAATACAATTCATATTACATACACTTAATATGAATATGACATAGTCTCATCCTATTACTCACAACTAATGTGATAGGGCGATTACCTGTGTCATAAGCGTAATCAAAAGCCTGGTGACGTCTTTACTCATGCCTACTTATGCAACATATGCTAAAGAACATATCAAAGAACAACAAATTTCATATATGTTTGGTGTAAC